CTGAATAAAAAAATGAGTTTTTTTATGGGCCGGGGAGATAGCTCAGTGATCTAAGCACCTGTCTGGCAAGCGCAAGGATTGGGGTTTGATCCCTGGTACTGCATGCCGTACTGGCCCCATGCTGAGCCAGCCCCTGAAACCAGGTGTGGTGGCACACGCCTGTAATCCTAGCACTGGGAAGGCTGAGAGAGGGGGATCGCTGAGGCTGAGCTGTGAAGCAAGACCCTGTACCAAATTTATAAAAGATTTTTTTAAGAAAAGTTTGTCATGATGGGAGCCCAAAGTAGATGCAGGAAAGAACATTTTAGTTAGACCTATTTTCCTTGTGTCCGAGTAATGCTGTAGCTTTCAGGTGCCTAAAACATAGAAATAATTACATTGAGCCTCAAACAATGATGAGACGAGTTCAGCTTTCTGGCATGCCATTTGTCACCTGTGTATTTTAAAATGGCAACTACACTCCTTGGCCACTAGCATTGGTTTTATGGCAGGTGCAGTCAAATAAAATGTGTTCTAACTCATTCTCAGTTTGGCTGTGCCCTGGGATAGAGGGCTGCATGCAGGCCACACATTGCATTTCTGGATTATTCAGGAGTTAGAATGCTGGAGGCGGAGTTAGAGGGTCTGGATTTAGCAGGATTAAATTCTGGCTACTCTGCCCTTTCTGTGTAATTTTGAGCAAGAGACTGATGGCTAAATGCATAGTTACCCCAAGTCTGGAATGGGTAGGATAAAGCTTCCTCTTATAGCATTGTGGTTAGGATTAAATAAAATGATGTGGTGAATGTATAATATGTAGTCAGCATGCAGCAAGCATCTAGAATGTTTTTTAAAAATCTATAGTTTCTCTTAGGTGAATGGGCTAACAGTGTTAGTTTCGCTTGAGTTAGAGATCACTGCCCATGCCTATTTTGGAAATTTTGAAATACACAGAATATGCACAGGGAAATTTCTCAGCTGTATTCCGTAGATGCTCTTAGGAATGATTCATTAAGGTGCCTTTCTGATACTTTAATACAACTGCACACATGGGTCAGTAACCCCAGCTATGTGTCCAGACGGTGGTGAACGTCAGTTTCATTGTGCCGAGTAATCGTATGTCTTGATTTTCCCAGTAAAATCCTAATTTATAGCATTTGTCATGACAAAATTATTAATGCCTATTTTCACTCTCAGGGGTATCCACATTTGGATGATAAATAATACAGTCACTTGACTTACAATCTTCTTTTTGCAAACTTCATAACCTATTCTGAAGCCCCATGGGATACCCTCTGTGCTGAAACTTGGCCTTTATGTTCATACTTCTTTCTTTTTGACTTGGAATGCCCTTTTCTTTTCCTGGTCATTTTTAAGGTCTTCCTTGGTTAATCACCCCCTGGGTTAAGTGGAGTATTTTCTTTCCCTTTAGTCAGTACGCTGCATAGACCTGCATACTGACTGCCCTGTTTCTTTTGCTTCATAAACAACTATGTCTTATTCATCTTGAGCTTCTGAAAATACCTAGTTTAATGTTGTTGTGGAAGGAACCTATTTTGTATGTTTGTTGCATAAGTACTGTAAATGAATGAATAAGTGGAGATGAATGACAGCTTAGAAGTTGATGAAGATGTTAGACTTTAACTGATTTGATTGGAATATAAAACTCAGTGCGCTGTGTACTTCAAAGGAGAAATTGATTTCATGTAAACAATTTTGAAAACAAAGAGAAGGAAATAGCTTCATGCAAAGTTGGATCCAAGCATTTAGTTGGTTCCAGAGTTTTTCTAAAAGATGTTAAAATGATCTGTCCCTTTTGTGTTCCTGAAAGGCATAGGCCTTTGAAATTTTTTTGATTTATGTTTTGCTGTCAAAGTTTAAAAAACTGGCAAGAAAGTGTTACTGTTTGTTAAAGAACTTAATTTCTGGTACTTGCTTTCTTTAAGTGATATATACAGTTTTTGTTAAGAAACTAAATTGCTCACTCTTTTTTGGCTTGTCAAAAGTTATTTGTTGAGAGTGCTTCAGAATTAATAATACAGAAAATACATGAGGAATCTAGGCTGCTAGTAGATGGACTTCTGAAAGTCCGCATGTTCATCCCGGTCATACTTTAAGAAATGTTTTGTGTTTATTGTTTCATGCATTTCTTACCAGAACTCCAAGAGGACATTATCATTCTCTTTATAGGCAAAGAAGCCTGTTTCAAAAGATTTGAGAATTTTCAAGCAAGGTCCTAGTAGAGCTTAGAAGAGGCAAAGCCAAACATTCAGCCGAGTTTGGACTATGGTTTTAGTGCTACTGAAGTCTATTTAAAAATTTTTTTGTGTGATTCTATTTCCATAAACCATTTTGGCATCATAGTTTTAGAGGACTAATTTCCCTTTTCCCCTCCCTCCCTCCCTCTTTCTTTTTTCTTTTTTTTTTCCATAATTTTATTGAGAAACAAATAGCAATGAGATAGTTTCAAACCAAATTGGTAGGACAGTTTCAATAATTAACACATTGCATACATTCTTCCTAGTGGTTAATTGCTGTAAAAGATGTGGACTTGATATCCTATTTACAAACACCATTAGAACAAATCCCTCTATTCATTAAGAGAATGTAACTATATATCTATCCTAACCACTTTGAATACACACATACAAAATGGACATTCATCTGTATCCCCTTTTTTTGTTAAGTTCCATCATTTAAATATTATAGGTGTGTAAACTCAGCAAAATATTCTAAAAGAGTTCAGTAGTATTGGGTCTTCCACTTGACTCGCAGTGTCAGAAATTGTTGACCTGAGTCCCCTACAGCTCAACATAACAGCATGGCTTTACTTCTTATACTTCGTTTTTATACTTTTCTGCTGGATGGTTAAGACCAAGGTAAAGCAGGACCTATGCAACAAGAGTTGTAACTTTTGGGTCTGATAAGGTCAGTGAAATCCCCTCAGGAGTTATCCTGAGATCCTGTACCTCAGATTGTAGAACCTTTGTCAGTGTCCGCCATGTGGATAAGTCACGGCCATTGCTTGACCAGTGTGCTCTCTGTGAAAGCCTGAGAGAATGTTTTCTCTCCATGGGACTCTCCTTAGGCACACTCTACATCATTAATCACTTTCCTCTTTGGCCCTATAATCTCCTTGATCAGAAAATTTGGGACACTACTGAGTTACATATCGTTACAGTACAAGTTCTCATATGTCCTGAGTCTTAAGTGACCTTGGAAGGCTAGGGCCAAAATGTTGGCTTTCCTTGCAGCCCTCCTTTTTCTCTAATTTTGGTCTGCAAACTTAGGTTGTTAACCCTTCAGAAGACAAGCTTATTGTTATTACCATACAACCTAGCCTGTTAAGCTTAACCTCACTATCTGTCTGAATATCAAACATCTTAGGCATAACATGGAACAGGTATTTTTCATCAAGCATTGATATGTTGAACTTTAAGTCCCTATAAAATATGATGAAAAAACATTTAAAAATTAGAATATATTTTAAAAAAATAGGCATAAAGAATTATATACTTCTTATGTTTACACATAAGTCCAAAAATCTCACCATATACAACCTTGAAGCAGGACAGTCCCACAATATTCCTTTTCCTATCTCTTGCCTTCATTCACCACCCCCTTTTTTTTGAACAATCATCTACCTGAGAGACAGCACAGCAGCAACTGGCATGTCATGACAAGCAGCCTGTATTCAGAAGACCAGAATGACAGGCACTCCAAGCATGAAACTACTATTACAGATTACCATTTGCAGTGCAGTAGCTTAGTTCACAGGTATCAATATATATAGTTAGTCAGGGTGAGAATCTTTCCAATTAACTGCTAGATTCAAAAATCTTCTGGAGATTCTCAGGATCATTGCCTTGCCCATCTTCTACATATAACTGTATGGCTTGACATTGTGATGTTTCCTAGCTCTTCTCCTTTCCCTCTCTTGATTAGTTAGTCCTCGAGATCCTGCTTTCCTTTTACTTCCTCCCTTTTTCATTTGATTTGGGGTCTTGCTGTGTACTGCAGACCGGCTTTGCATTCACACTGTAGCCCAGGCTGTTCTCCAGCTCTCGATGATCCTCCTGTCTCAGCCTGTGGAGTGCTAGGATTACAGTTGTGGGCCCGTCACACCCAGTTTAGAGGATTAATTTTCTTTCTTTGCTGTATCAGCAGTCAAACTTGGGACCATGCACTTGTAAGGCAGGTGTTTATGCCACTGAGCTATATCCCCAGCCCTAGTTTCTAATTAGAAGAATTTGACTTTTTGAGAGTCAGTCTTGGGATGAAGTCAGCCTGCACCTGACAATGTGAAGCCACAACCATCCGCATCTTCCTTGTCCCACAGCCCAAGTTTTTGTCTGATCCACAGAGCAGGACTTTCTTTTCTTTCTACCCTTCTGTGGTAGATCAGAAATATCTTTTAGGGGACTCATTTTTCATTTTGTTTCTCTCATAACAAGATGGCATACACATTTTGGAAGGTAAAGAACAATTAATATTTTGCTTTTTTGATAGAACCTCTATTACTGTTTTGGAATTGTCAAATAATTACAGAATTTTAGAATAGGATAATACTTAAAATATATTAACATAAAGTCAGTAGTCAAGTATCTTCTTGGAGTATGCTAAATATAGTTGGTAATTGCAGGTATTAATATCCCAGAAACTAAGCAGCTGGGTTTAAAAGTGATTAATAATGTAGATTCATGGGATTTTCAGAACAGAAAGAGATCATGTAAAATTCTTTTGTAGTTAGAGGTACACAAGGCCATAGTGATTAGTACATTTAGCTTCTAGCTATGGTTGAATTCATTTATTTGCATATTAGCATAACAGAATTGGAAAAAAATTGTTATGTAATACTGCAGTACACGAGTATTAATAGAACAAGATATGGTCTCACAGATAGTTATTTTTGTGAGTTTGTTTTTTGCTATACATAGCTGCATGTGTACACATGGCACTTGTGTTTGCAGAGTCTCTGAAGACTCTGCTTATAAATAGTAAAGATCGGGAGCTAACCAGATAATGCTGTGGAGGGTCGACACGAGCCTTGTCTCGTGAGGACTGATGAGTAGCAGGTGTCTGCTTGCTACATTAAAAATGCCCAGGAAGGAGCAGGCTGTTTTTCTGAGCATGGCTGATGAAGCCTCTGTTGCTTTTGACCAATTAGTGTGGCCACGGAGGGCTAAGTGACCTGGTTTACAGCTACCATTAGAATCACAAGCTGTAGGACTCTCACGGTATGGCTTCCTGCTACCTTTTGTTTTTCATCTCTTTATAAACTCTGGTATCCTGTGGGGATAGTAGATATACTTTTCAAAATTGTTATATGGTTTAATGTTTGTTCTTGAAGAAAATAAAGAGAATGGCTCACGTTTTTATATTTGTCCATCTTACCACCTTACATTAAATGCCAATAGAATTAATCAGATGTTTTTATATTAGAGTTAATAGCATACTTGAAATATCAGTTGTAGGGATGTGTTTCTCTTTTGAGTAGGTAGTGGTTTGTTGAATGGCATCTATATGTTCTTTTAAGGTTTTCTGGTTTACATATATTTCCATAGATAGTTTTCTGTACCTTAAAAATAGTGTTAGAATTGCAGTATCATTGGATATGAGCATGTTCCACTTGTAGATCCTATCAAGCAATTTTTCTAGCTAGTTAAATCAATTTAAACAACCACTAATTTATGTGTTTTTCAGTTGCTCTAAATGCTTGTGTTTGGTGTTTGCAGTGGTGGTCTTCTCATTGTAACGTTGTGATGGCTAGTAAGGGTCCTGAGGCTTCCGAGCTGCATTTCCCTGACGACTAATGACATCGAGCACCTCTGTGTATGTTTTGCAAACCCCTCCCCCCTTTTTTTCAGTACCGGGGATCTAGCTTGGGACCTTGCATTTGCCAGGCAGGTGCTTAGGCCACTAAGCCATCTCCCCGGCCCTCATAACCATTTGGGCATTGTCTTGTAGAAATCCTGTTTAAGTCATTGGCTCACTTAGAAAAATTTTTATTTTTTTAGAAAAGTTTTTAAAAAATTGATTTGGATGACTTCTGACATTTCTTGGTGTCTTTTGGGTGGTGTGACTGAAAATGAGTCCTGCTGCCATTGCACTCTGTTAAAGGGTACTTCTCAATGAATAACAATTTCTAATTTAATGAAGCCTATTCTATCAATATTTTCCTCTATGGTTATTATTTTTGTGTCCTCTTTAAGAAATTTCTACTTAAGATCATGAAATATTCACTTAGAAGTTTTGCTGATTGCATTTACTTCTACTATCTGTCTGCATTTTATTTATATTTTATTATAATTGTGTATAGCATGAGATAGTGGTCAGGATTTTATTTCCATACAGGCATTTGACCAGTTAATTCAACACCACTTAATTGAAAATGTCTTTCTTCTACTGTTCTACATCAGCTCCTTGTTATATAAATCAAGTGACTGCATATGTATGTGTTTGTGTTGGTTGACTGTTCTGTAACATCTGTTTGTCCTGATGTCTACACTATACTTCCTTCCTTCTACTAGGTATATACCCAACAGAAATTATTCTAGGTGTATACTGAAGGGCGGGTACAGACTGCTAACAGTATTACCAGTACAGCCGCAAGTTGGAAACAACAACCCAACTTGTAAAATAGCATGTTATATAGAAACATTCTGTGAGAAGAAGGAAAAGACAGCGAAGTGGGAGAGAGAGGGAGGAAGGAAAGAAGGAAATAAGGGAAAAAGAAGGAAAAATTAGTAGGTGACTGCTGTGTGTACCACTGAAGTTATTTAAGTATGATGCTGAGCTGGGCCTGGGTGGAAGCCTGACAGTTGTTGACCATTGTAGTCATTGGACACTGCAGTTATAATTGCTTGGAGGTTTTTTTGAATGGTTTTTTAAATATAGTTCTGACCATTGTAATCTTTTCAAGTGTGGTCAGAGTGTTAATATGTTGTTTATATGGAAATTTTGCCAAGTTCTTTAGGTTTGTGGACAAAAGTGAGAGTTGTTTGATCATCACCAAATGGCAGCGTTTCGTGGATCTTATGTGGTTAGCAGAGTTCTAGTTCTATCTGCAAATTTGTCCCATCGAAATATTCTTTCAGATAGGGAAGCAGGGAAGGAAAATACCACATCTTCAGCTGGGTCATTTCAGGACACACTTGAATTATTTGTATTCCAAAGCATACTAATGTGCAAACCCCACCCCAGTCCAATTAAATCAGTTTTCTGTTTTCCTAAAGAAGCTGGGGAGATTTTAAAGGTACCCAGAGTTAAGAACAGCTGTGAAATATTTTTGCATACATTGGGGTCCTGCTGAGTTCTGTTAGATATGAGAGAACAGACAGCTCCACAGTCCTGCAGGAGGTAACCGTTGGTGATCCTGAGGCTGAGGGATGGAAGTGTAGAGGGAGGGTTAAATCTTAAGTTCCTGCAGAGTTCTTCCTTTAAAGAGTATGGCTGTCCTTGTCTCCAGGTGTATAAAATACCAATGAAGGGCAACAATTAATTAGTCAAATCTGAATGGACAGATTTTATGTATGAATGATGATTGTCTGTCGTGTGTGTTAATTATTGTGCCAGTCAGATGCAGCTGTTGATGTTGGTGAAGGTAAAAATGAATACTGTGTCAGTTGGTAAAAGAGGTAGTGGCTGGCTATTTGGGACCATCTCTGCTCGGCTTACTCAGAGCTGTGAGGCCACTATTTCTGGGTCTATCCTTGGGCTGTCCTTCCCTCACAAGAAGGAAGATTTCTGGGTACCCATTACTCCCTGTGGTGTGGAGGAGGCCCCTTCCCGGGAGGATTAGTTTTAGAGAGATCTAATTTGACAAGGGCATGCGTACTATTCTAGAAAGAGGCTGTTAGATATTTCAAGGTTTAGCAGAAACAAATCTTTACTTTTTTTTTTTTAACCACTTGTGCTCCAATGGCACATTTTGTGTACAGTAGAAATGCTATTTACTCAGAGATTGTTTATGGACACTTGCCTAACAGATGTCTGTTGGTAAAGGTGGTTTATATGGGGAGGGAGAACCAGTCTAGTGAACCTGTAGCACCTCTCGTTACAGAGGACTGACGGGCTTTGTGTACTGTGACCTTTGGAGTGAATATGAGCATTCTGAATGGTAGCGCTCTTGCCTCACAGACTCTTGGGAAAGAATGAACACTGAGATACCAAATCAACTATATAATTGTTTTATTAGCTGCAGAGTAGTAACATGTTTATCGCTTTAGTTGGATAATCTATACTCTTGATTCTTAGCTTGACTGCGCAGTTAAGAGTAATATTGTTCATGTTTTGTTCTTTTTCATACTAAGACGAGTAAATCTTCCAGCAGAGCAGCTTACGTTCATTGCGTGTTTTGAGCAGGTACCAAGGAAGAGAAGTGGTCTGGTAGGAAGGCTGAATTTTGGGGGACTCTGTCTAGAGGCTGGAGGGACCTGCACAGTTTGACAGCTCTGAAAGTGGTCTGGGGCTGTCCTGATCTAGCTTGTGACCCGCTTGTTAACATACACACATTTAGCAGGCAGGTTTGTTTACTTATTTCTAAATGGGAGCACAGTATTGCTGGACTTTAGCATTCCTTGGGAGGAGGTATGTAAGTTTTTGTGAAAATTCAGAACTCAAGTAGCGCTCTTGCCTCACAGACTCTTGGGAAAGAATGAACTCTTACCAAGTGAAGAGTCCGGGAGGTCTCCTTTCCTTTCACATCTCCACCAGGTTTTCATTCCCATCTTTATTGTTAGGGAAGAAGCTGCTATTGAAAATACTTTTAAATAAGTCTTTTATTCCAAATAAGCCTTTCATGAGTGCATGAAATGAGAGTGAAATATAAGATAAGAGAAAGAGGATAGGTAGCGAGTGCTCTGCTGGCCTCCTCATGGAGTAGCCCACCAGCAGGGTCTTCTCATCTTTGTCCTCCCCAGTTGCCAGTACCTGAGGTACAAACGAGGAGGGTACTTAGAAGATGTCACCAAAGTAACAGGCTATGGCAAAGCTCCTCTCCTTAGGACAGCTGTCAGGCCTGCCTCTCTTGGGGACATCGCAGACCCCTGGATCCTAAGTTCTACTCCAAAAAGATGCTTCCAGGCTTTCCCATACCAGGCTGTGTGTAGAAAATGGCAATGGTATGGCTTGAATTGAGGAGATTACTTAGGGCTTGAGGCCCATCCAGCCATGAGGGTACTGTAGGGCTGTAAACATGCCCGTCGTCAGCAGGCCTGCAGTTCCCTGCTCTGCAGGGGCATGTTTGCTGGGTAGCAGTGCATTCAAGAAGTTGGAAAAAAACGAAACAGGAAAAAGGAAGTGTACACACAGCCGCATGGCGATCTGGATCCGCCAGCGTGAGGGCTGCTGTTCATGGTGTGACTCTGGGAGCTAAGTCTTCAGGTGGTGGTTGAAGCTGGGCCTCGAAATGTGCTGTGGACCTGTGGCCACTGTGGAAATAAATGATAGAAGTAAGCTGGTCAGATGTGAGACTTAGACAGGAGCAGCTTGGAAGTGAGAGGAGCAGGAAGGCGGAATCTGCATGGTAGAGCAGACCCCTGAGGTCTTCCTTAAAAACAAAGAAAGAGCATTAGGTATGCAGGGAGACCGACCTTGCTGCATTTCTGCACAGAGGTTCAAACCACAGACCCAGGCATCGGCTCTGCTGGCTGGGAGCTGGACGCGGAGACCCAGAGCGCAGGATGGGCCCTGTGAAGGGCTGTCCCTCTCCTTGGCTGAAGTGTTAAAAACCTTCTCTTTGCTGTAAAAATTGTGTGAAATTCTTGTCTGCAACATCCTAAACGTGTCTTTTGGGTACCCAGGCAAGTGCTTTTTGCATGACTGATGTGCTAAAGTCCAACTTGCATAGGTTTTGGGAGCGTCAGCTTGGCTGAATGGTGGCATTTTTGCGATGCGCACTAGTCTGTCAGTTTGCTAATAAAGCCACCAAACTGCTCAATCTCCTGCCCAAACTCTTTTTAGTAGTCGCATTTAATTTTTCTGCATCTTCTAGTCTAAGCTTTTAAATTTTGTTTTCAGTATTCCTAGCTTCCTCTTATTTCTGTTCACTGTGGCTTGGATTTACTTGACCGTTTCTGTTAGAAGCACGTAACTACAGGCTCTGTGCATTCTCCCCTAGTCATCATTTTTATTAATTGTGAGCACTGAAGACTGGCCAGTGAGCATGATTGCTTTAGTCAGGACCAGGATAAATGCACTGCACTATGGATCTCAGAGCCTTCAAAGATTCTGTTAC